AAAAAATGTCACATTTTTAAATATGGTGTGCCAAGTCTTGGCACACCAATATGATATTATATATGATATTATATATGATATCTGATTGTATATCGTCGATATTAAGATTATCTAATAGCATCGACTGATAATAGTTCGACTGGCTCTGGGTTAACCCACTCTGGGTTATTCAGCCTACGTTTATCGGTCAAACAAGTACTTATAAGCTTTATGATTAATAGAAACCTATGACGTCATTAATCGCTCTGGGAGCGATTAACCTAGGGCCAGTCGAACACGCCATAATAGAAAGTTACTATTTAGTACACGTATCAAGTGTACGATGTAAACCAAGCCATTGGCCTGGTTTACATCGTGCACTTGATACGCGTACTAAATAGTAATTTTCTATTAGACAATCTTAATATCGACAATACATATCAACGGCGACATATTCAATCAATACAATACGTTTTGTTGATGCGTATTATATCAGCTTAATATACCATTGTTTATATTTATTTTCGATATTAAGATTATCTAATAGAAAGTTACTATTTAGTACGCGTATCAAGTATACGATAGCTGCGTTCGCTTTGGATACTTACGCGCTGTAAAAGTCATTCTATTTTTATCGCTCATTACATGCAGGAAGAAGATAGAATGACGCTTACAGCGCATAAGCGCCCAAAGCGAACACAGCCGATGTAAACCAAGCCATTGAATACTGGCCTATACTAAACTAGATTGCAAACAGGCTATCTAAAAGCATATAACTGCTTGTGTTCGATAGAGTTTCCGGTGCATGCGAGAAAATGGCCGCTACCGCCACATATTTTTACTACGTTTAGTCATAAAATTCTTTTGTTGAAAATAAGCAGAGCAAATAACGTCCAATACCATCTATTTTTTTGTTACAACATTTTTTTATGCAATATGAGGGTGCTATTTCACGTGTCGTACGACAAGCTTTTCAGATACGTTTATTGGTTGGCGAATAGAGAAATTCCAGGTTCTCTGTTCGTCAACCAATGAATGTATCCAAAAAGCTTGTCGTACGACACGTGAAATATCAGCCTGATGCTGGCATTTTTGGTTTTACGACAGTAATTTAGGCTGCGTTCCGAAATTCACTGCCAGTACTGATATTCTATAGTATACGTGACATGAACTATAGAATTTCAGTACTGGCAGTGAATTTCGGAACGCAGCCTTAATAGCCACATTGACTCACATTGTATGTGTACGTATTCACACAAGTGACATATCACACACAAACGTCACACACACAGGACCGCCGCTATTTTCTCGCATGCAATCGGAAACCTTATGTGACACACGTTCGAAACCCTTGTTAGCAATTTAGTTTAGTATAGACATCTGTGGAATTGGCCAATTATAGTCGATTATTACAAGAATAAGGCCCGATCTACAATAGATGGAATAAGAAGTAGGAGTAAGAAATAAGCAATAAGTAAGCAGACCAATCACAATCGATTATTTTTGAAACGTGAGAATGAAATTGGTCAATTTGCTTAGGCCCGATCTACAATAGATGGAGTAAGAAGTAGGAGTAGGAGTAAGAAATATACAGTAAGTAAATGGACCAATCACAATCGATTATTCTTGAATCGTGAGAATAGAATTGGCCAATTTGCTTACTGCTTATTTCTTACTTCTATTCCTACTCCTTACTCCATCTATTGTAAATCGGGCCTTATGGCTCCTGCACACAGGACGCGGTAATGCTTGCCGCGCGGCAAGCATTACCGCGTCCTGTGTGCAGGAGCCATAAGGCCCGATTTACAATAGATGGAGTAAGGAGTAGGAATAGAAGTAAGAAATAAGCAGTAAGTAAATAGACCAATCACAATCGATTATTCTTGAATCGTGAGAATAGAATTGGCCAATTTGCTTACTGCTTATTTCTTACTTCTATTCCTACTCCTTACTCCATCTATTGTAAATCGGGCCTTATGGCTCCTGCACACAGGACGCGGTAATGCTTGCCGCGCGGCAAGCATTACCGCGTCCTGTATGCAGGAGCCATAAAGCGTCTTCTACAATGGCAGTAGGAGTAGTAGTAAGAAATAAGCAGTAAGTAAATAGACCAATCACAATCGATTATTCTTGAATCGTGAGAATAGAATTGGCCAATTTGCTTACTGCTTATTTCTTACTTCTATTCCTACTCCTTACTCCATCTATTGTAAATCGGGCCTTATGGCTCCTGCACACAGGACGCGGTAATGCTTGCCGCGCGGCGGCGGAAGTTCGCGCAACAGCCAATCAATATGGTGTTTTCCGTAATAACCTTCTAGCTCTTACGGAAAAACAACATATTGATTGGCTGTCGTGCGGACTTCCGCCGCGCGGCAAGCATTACCGCGTCCTGTATGCAGGAGCCATTAAAGCGTCTTCTACAATGGCAGTAGGAGTAGTAGTAAGAAATAAGCAGTAAGTAAATAGACCAATCACAATCGATTATTTTTGAAACGTGAGAATGAAATTGGTCAATTTGCTTACTGCTTATTTCTTACTACTACTCCTACTGCCATTGTAGAAGACGCTTTACTGCTTATTTCTTGCTCCTACTCCTACTCCTTACTTTATCTATTGTAGATCAGGCCTAATCGACTATGATTGGCCAATTCTTACGGCTTACTCCGCATATTGTAAACTAAGCCTTAGCCTACAATGGATAAGTTCCACTTAGCGTCGCGTCTTCACGAGCGTCATTTCATCCTTGTTTAACATCAAGTAAAAAACAAGGATAGAACGATGCTTGTGTAACACGATTGTCAAGTGGAACCAATTTATCGATGTATCAACGTCGATATGAATGTGTCATTATGAAAAAAATTAGATTTTTGCACTTTCTTATTTTAAAATGATGAATATTTATTTTACGTAAAACATCCGGATAAGTGTAAGTTTTCTTAAATTTATATATGCATGTAGGACAACGTAAAACCTATTAGAAACAATAATTTTATAAGTGTATTTTCGCAGTAGCATAGGTAATAATCTGAATATGGATTATATGCATACATTTTAACATAAATACAAGTGTATTATTATAGAAAAAATTGTTTTCGAATTTCTATTTTCAATTTATGTTAAGGAATTATTCATTTTTATTTGATGCATCTTTATAGTTCCTATATGTCTTTATAGTTCCTATATGTGTAAAATTTTAAATAAATTATTTAAAGTGCTGAATATATATTCTTATCAAGATTTGTAAATGTTTTATACTTCAAATAGATAACTATTTATCTGTAATAAACTGATTACAGAAATTCGTAATACATAAGAAAGAGACAGAGATAACATTCTACTAAGGAATCTGAGAAAGATCTGCTCACACAACTTTGTTTACATTGCCTAAAAGAAGGTGAGATAAAGAAACTTTATTTCATCATTCCTGTTTTATCTTTTAAAGTGATAATATTTCATGTTTATACATGCTTAGAGTTCTTTTGTTAGTTGTGTAGAACAGAACAAGTCTGCAAATTTTATATCAGGACAAAGAATTTATCCTGTTTATAAAAGTATTATAATTTGTATTTTTTTGTTTTATACAATTTATAAGTTGTGTTATATTTATTATTTACTTATTATGTGCTTGTTTATTCCAGGAATAATTTAACAAGTTCCTACAATATTATATAAAATGGATAACATACAAGAAACTGTGAATGAGAGGTCATGTGTTGTTAAAGAAAAGAACAATGAACTTTGCAACGAAAATAGGTAAATATAAAGAATATTTTGCGTAAGATATGAATTATATATATATATATATATATATATATATATATATATATATATATATATATGTTTTTTTATAATATAATATAAGCAATATGTGTATATAGATGTATTTAATTTTATGTATTACTTTTTATTTATTTTACATTTGTGCAAAACTTAAATTTTTAATTAATATAAACACAGTGATATGTCTTTACAGTAATTGCCTTCAACATATAAATAGGTCAAATTTAAAGGAAAAAATAACAAGATCAGATATAATGCCACAAGTAAGCTATATAGTCATTATATTATTTGTGTTATAGATATTTATAAATACTGCTGCCTATTATTATAAGCATGAAATAAATGGCTGATTGTAAAAATAGTGACATTTTATAAATGACAACATATTTTAGGTTATTGCAAGCTGTATAATCCATTGTATAGTCATAAAGGTTGGTGTAAACATGGCTTTTAGTACAGTTTTGCTAAACGACCTGAAGTTAGACAATATTGGAATGACAATAACACAAAACGAAGAATCTTGGATAGGTCAGTCTTATAGCAGAATTTTTTTAATTTGCATTTATTACAGTAAATGTGTCATTTAATAGTTAACAGAGCAGAATTTTATTGCTGCTTGCAAATACTCGTGTATGTGCACTAATATAAATTTCCTATGTATTCTTTTGACATCTATATCATTGAGTAATTTATTTAAATCAAGCAATGCTTATGAATTTGTATAGCCTATAGATATTTTATTAAAACCTGTTATTTAACAGTTACAAATATGAATTTTTGGAGAGTTTTGCATCAGTGCACATGCGTGTTTCATTACTAGTTGCAAAAGAATTAGGATTTCTGTTATTAGTAAGGTTACTTATTTATTATTCTGCACTTTTTGTTCTATAGCAAGTCTAGTTACAATAACATTGCCAATAGGATCTATTATATCAGGCTCTTTAATGGATAAATTTGGACGCAAAGTGGTTTGCCAATTATCATGTGTTCCTATGATAATATCATACATTTTATTCATATTTGCCAAATCTGTAATTATTATTTATGCAGCTCGGTTTATAGCTGGAATTGCATCAGGTTTAACAACTACTGGTATGATTTACATATCAGAACTTTCTAATCCAAAAATCAGACCAATGCTTCTGTGCCTTAATTCTGTATATGTTTCATTGGGTATATTAATAACCTGTTGCCTAGCTGCACTAATAGATTGGCACAAAATGGTTATAATTTTTCTTATACTAGAGTGTTGCATCTTTTTTGCACTTTTCTTTTTACCTAAAAGCCCGTACTGGCTCGCATGCTTTAGAAGTGGTATGTTAGACGAAAAACGGACTCGCGAAATGAAATGTAACCTGAAGCGACTTAACAGAAGACAAACGGTGAGTACTATAAAGGGTAAATTCGGGGATCTGCTATCTGCTATTTAACGTCATTTTATCCTTATTGTATATCTAAAGAACAGTAAAGATAGAATGACGCAGTAACGTTGGTAGTGTGTTCCCTGAACGCATCCAAAATCTGTCTTGCAATATCTATACACTCACTTCAGGATATCAACGGACAAACATTTTCTAGATTTATGAACAGGAGTACGCACGAATTATGGAGATCGCCCGAAATCGTGTTACAAATGAAAAAAAATCGAACACTGTAGTTGCATCCATAAGAAATTATTATTACAAATTTATATTACCGAGCGCTTATAAACCTATAGTGATACTTTTTGTACTTTTTTTGTTGCAACAACTTTCTGGTTCATACGTCATCATATTTTACGCCATGTCGATCTTTAATGAAATGAGTGAAGTACTTGGCCACAATTTTAATGAAAACAGTGCGCTCGTTATGTTAGGCATCGTTAGATTCGTTATAAGTATATTAACAGTTTTTTCTAGTAGACGATATGGTAGAAGGGTTATTTGCATCTTGAGTGGAATTGGGATGACTATTTCAATGTTTCTTTCTGGAATATATGTGCATTTTATGGTGTCACATGAAGATACAAAAGAAACCATGGCGGATTATAAATGGATATTACTTCTCTTTGTATTATCTTACATTTGCTTTAGTACATTTGGAATTATAAATATACCATGGACACTTATTGGAGAATTGATTCCTATGTCCATACGTGGTATTGGTGCAGGTCTCATAGTTTCTCTTGCTTACATAATGATGTTTGCTGTCATCAAAAGTTACCCATATATTTCAAAAAGTGTGAACATTGGAAATATATTTTTTTTATTTAGCTCCACATCTTTAATATGTACAGCTTATGTATATTTCTTTTTACCAGAGACATTTAACAAATCTTTCTCTGATATAGAAAAAATATTCAATCCTAAGAGTAAGAGAGAAGTAAGAAAACAGTGTGATGTTGATTCTACAAATTGTTAATTTTATATTCTTTTTTATATTAGCTAAGATATATATATACTAATAATATTTGTTAAGGGAAGTTAAGAAAATTTTTTGTTTAAGTTATTATGACATGAGATTATATTAATGCATGAAATATTTAAATGTCTAGAATAATAAATGTGCAATAAAATGATAATATGTTGAAAAATTTATATTACAAAATTGGTGCACCAAATTTATAGTATTTGTTTCTTAACCTATATATATATTTTTTTTGGATTAAATATATATATATATTTAATCCAAATTTTTAAAAGTGCAGTTTACACAGATGTCAATAGCATCCTTTAAAAAACATTTATCCTACAAAATATAAAAAGTACTGATTGTACAGTTGAATTGTACAGTTTCTTCAATTTTTTTATAACACAAGAAGCTATCTTTTTGTTATGAATTAATATTATTCAAGTATCGCCTACTTGTAAGCTTCAGATATATGAGGAAAAAGAAAAAAAATGTTTGTACGCTACTATAAAAATGTACAACCTGTTTTACGGCAGTTCAACGTAGACGTTATACTTGATTTTTAACCTTTTACCTATAGCTTTTTTTTAATCTTTATAACGGATAAGTGAATTGGTCTGACACATTGTAAATATCGCGACATATGTATTGTCTCTATCGCGTTAATACAATGCTTTCGAATGTACAAAATGTGTATTAGTGGTCTGCTCTTATGATCAATTTTAATTCTTGTTGCAGATGTGTACCTGATTTGAAGGAAACACATAGCCTAAATCTGCATATGCATCTGGTTCATCTGACAAACTTTACTCTGCCATAACCTAACTATATAACAGCGATAATAACCACAGGAACAATTATCTCGATTATCGACGATTTTCGCCATTTAATAGCGATGAGATATTCCTGAAATATGATGCTTGCCCGTCGCAAATGCCTGTTGAAATTGTTATTTTGTACATTATATATAATCTGCATTTTGCTTATTGCTAAGCAAATATTTCGTGCTAATGACAATTCCAATGCTTATAAAGATCAGTTTCCATTCCCAAGAGATGGCAATAACTCTCAAAGGCAGAAAGATGTGGATATTGCATTACAGGGGCTACAAAAGGAAAGGTAAGCTTGCTCTTGTCCTCAATAGCTTTGTGTAGTAACCATTGTTCTATTTGTATTTTCTGATTCAATTGTATCCTATATTTTTCCTTAAGATTAAAATAACATTTTAGGTATGAGCAGCAGATACTAAAATTGGAGTATGATGTTGTAATTGGACTTGGAGAGAATGGAGAACCAGCTTATCTATATGGAAAAGAAAAGGTTGAGGGTGAAGCAGCACTTGCAAAGAAAGCGCTGAATATTGTTCTTTCAAATAAGATATCATTAACTAGAAAATTGCCAGATGTACGCAATCCACTGTAAGAATTTATTATATATTGCAATGCATTTCAAAAGAGATCATTTCCATGCATGCAGATATATAATATTGATTAGAATATTTTTTTGCTTTGTGTTTATAAATACATATGAACTTTACATATTATAGGTGTGCAAATCTTACATATGACACATTATTACCAAGTGTTAGTGTGATAATTATCTTTTATAATGAACCATGGAGTGTTTTGTTACGTACAGTACATAGTGTTTTGAAAGGTTCTCTGCCACATTTATTAAAAGAAATTATTTTAGTTGATGATCATAGCGAGGAAGGTATTGAAATCAATATGAATATGTAAATTGTAAAGCATACATACTTATTCCGCTTAAACATACATCTATTTTGGCTTACTTGCAATAAAATATTAATAATTAATGTCTTTTGTAAAGTATATATTCTATATTAATATATTCTGTTAATTTGTGTGTAGAAGAACTTCAAGGACAACTCGATTATTATCTTTCGACTCGTTTACCTATAAAAGTCAAATTGCTGAGATTGCCAAATAGACAAGGATTGATACGCGCTCGTCTTCATGGAGCTAAAAATGCTACTGGCGATGTTCTTGTCTTCCTAGATGCACATTGTGAAGTTATCAAAGACTGGTATTTCAAACTGGTATTAATTTGGCTAGAAAATATATTCTTTATTCAATTTGCTGTATTTCGTATATTAAATTAATTTTACACATTAATTTTACACATGCATGCATACATGAAGAGAACTTTATTAGTGTATATATTTTAATATGTTACAGGCTACAGCCTTTGCTTCAGCGAATAAAAGACAAGAGAAATGCTGTACTAATGCCAATAATTGATAACATCTCTGAAGAAACGTTAGAATACTTCCATGATAATGAAGCATCTTTTTTTCAAGTTGGTGGCTTCACATGGTCGGGTCATTTTACATGGATAAATATCCAAAAGCATGAGCTCCAGTCGCGTCTTTCTCCTATATCACCGACTAAGTCTCCTACTATGGCAGGAGGTTTATTTGCTATAGACAGAAAGTATTTCTGGGAAATTGGTAGTTACGATGATAAGATGGATGGCTGGGGAGGTGAAAATTTGGAAATGTCTTTCAGAGTGAGTTAGATTCTTCCTTAAATATTAAACTAAATTGAGTTTATAATTACAAAAATATATATACCAGATCTTTCACTGGTTCAATAAGATTTTATGTTTTTAATAAATTGTTGTTTTTCAACAGATTTGGCAATGTGGCGGCACATTAGAGATCATTCCTTGTTCTCGGGTTGGTCATATATTTCGAAATTTTCATCCATATAAATTCCCGAATGATAAAGATACACATGGAATAAATACTGCTCGTTTAGCATTTGTATGGATGGATGAATATAAGAGATTATTTTTACTCCATCGCAGTGAGTTTAAGGTAAGATTAGAAATATATAAAAAGAAATATATAATTATTAAAGCTTCTAGGTACACTCTCGCATCGCGTCCACCTCTTTTTAATGACATCAGAAGCAAGAGAATGCATGTTGAAAATTCTTGCAAAATATGTCGAGATAAAAAGATAAATCTACAAAATAATACTTATGATCGATTAAGTACACACCTCTAAAATATTTTGTACACTTTCCTTTTGTTCTAACAATCATTAAATAATCGTAAAATTAATGATAGAATAATGAGGAAATTAGGCTAAAAAGGATTGCATGTCACGTTAATTTTGTGATTATTTATTGATTGCTAGAGTAAAAGGAAAGTGTTTAGAATATCTTAGAGGTATGCTTAATCGATTAAAAGTGTCATTTTATAGATATATCTTTTTATCTCAATGTCTTTCGTCAGAATTTTAGCATTATTTTTCCTCATTTCTGGTGTTTTCATTAAAAAGACATGGATGAGTCTAGGAGCTTTAATTATATCTGTTTTTGTATTTCTTATACAAATGAATAAAATTCACAGAATAATCCAAGCCTCTTAGGGGATATAAGCGAACGTTTGAAATTGCGTAAAGAGCTCAAATGCAAAAGCTTCAAATGGTATCTTGATAATATTTATCCAGAAAAATTCATTCCTGATGAGCATGCCATAGCATATGGGCGCGTCAGATTACGCAATAGACGGCTGTGTTTAGACAATCTACAACATGAAGAAGATAAACCATACAATTTAGGTCTATACAGTTGTCATTCCAAGTTGTATCCAAGCCAGGTGTGTATGTCAACGCAAATTACATCAATATGAATATCATATTTAAGGATAAATTTACTAAAAATGACACGTTTGTGTATTTAGTTCTTCTCATTAAGCAATTCTGGCGAATTACGGAGAGATGATAATTGTGCGAGAGTGAACGCAGATAAATTAAAAGTGCGTACTCGAGTTGAAATGTCTGACTGCAATACTGAAAAAAATGGAAAAGAATGGGTATTGACAAAGGTACTATATTAAAATTCGATAAACTTACGAGCTCTGTTACAAACGATTGAAATATGTAATTTGATTGTAGGACAGTAAAATAGTACACGTAGAAACTGGTCTATGTCTTGATGGTACTAGAGTACAAAATGAGGAAGATGTATTTGCAACCACCTGTGCCAATGTACCAGATCAATTTTGGAAATTTGATTTTTACATTGGTAAAATTTTACCTAAATAACGTTTCCGAGATCAAGTAATTGTTTGAATTTATTAGAACATTGTTCATATGTTATTGATACAATAAAAACGTTTTATCGTAAGCGTCTTGTAAGGATAATATCGCCATCTTGTATGGCAGTTGATTAAAGGGACGTCTACATTGGAAGTAAATAGCAAGAAGTAGGAAGTAAGTAAGAAATTGATCAACCACAGTCGAATGTGAGAAGAATAATCAACTATGATTGGTCAATTTCTTATTGGTATATTCTTTTCCATCTAAAAATATACTCTAATCAGATTCAAGAGTTTACTAACTACGGTAGTTACTAAACCGGTTTTAAGTTGCCGTGTAAACTTTGTCTATTAGCATGTTCGACTGGCTCTGGCTTGGTTTACATCGTGCACTTGATACGCGTATTAAATAATAACTTTCTATTAGATAATCTTAATATCGACGATGTATATAAATAACAGTATATTAAGCCGGTATAATACTGATCAAGAAGACTCATGGCTCCTGCACACAGGACGCGGTAATGCTTGCCGCGCGGCGGAAGTCCGCGCGACAGCCAATCAATATGTTGTTTTTCCGCTAGAAGGTTAATACGGAGCCATTATTGTATTGATACGATGCAGGAGCCATTATTGTATTAATTGAATGCATCATCGTTGATATGCATTGTCAATATTAAGATTATTTAATAGAAAGTTACTATATAGTACGCGTATCAAGTGCACGATGTAAACCAAACTCTGGGTTAATCCAGAGATCCTGTAATAAGAGATTGGACACCATATGTCAACGTTTTGATTGGCTGCGCCATGTTTGGGATACGATTCCGGTTAGGATCATTAGCTGAATGACAACACAAGCAGTGGTCTGTTCTTTTCAGCTGCACTGGCTGCAGTGGCTGCACTGCTGAACAATAATTGCTGGTGCAATAAGTTAAAATGAGGTAAGTATACTTCCGGTTTGGACCCAAACATGGCGAATCTAGTATCTACAGGCGACAGTGTTCGATCTCTTAATTTAATCTCTTAATTTGGATTTGATCACCCAAAGGTTGCTTTCCAACAAGAGACACAAGTCGACACAAGTATCATTCTATCTTTGGGTGCTTTCCAGTTGCGTACACTGTGTTACACAAAACCAGTTTATTGGTTGCATATTATCTTACAAGATATTTTAGATAATATATGACCAATAAACTGGTTTTGTGTACGTGTGTGTTAAGCAATTGGAAAGCACCCTTTGTTACTCACTAAGGGTGCTTTCTAACTACGTACACTGTGTTACACAAAACCAGTTTATTGGTGGCATATTATCTTACAAGATATTTTACGGTGCTTTCTAATTACGTACATTGTGTTACACAAAACAGTTTATTGGTTGCATATTATCTTACAAGATATTTTAGATAATATGTGACCAATAAATTGGTTTTGTGTAACACAGTTGGTCTGTTCTTTCGCTCTGCACTGCTGCACTGGTGCAATAAGTTAGAGTGAGACAAATATATATTTGTCTCACTCTAACTTATTGCACCAGTGCAGCAGTGCAGAGCAAAAGAACAGACC